CATGTACATGTCTCCATCAGAAGCTTTTTTGATGTAGTACAATACTGATTATGTCAGTTTCCTGCCCAGGGACGTGAACCAGGGATCTTCTAACTGTGAGGCAACGGTGCACTTTGTTGTAAATATATTTGTAAGTAAATCTGTTATCTTCTGCAAGTTCTGTCTACTGTGTCTTTGTCATCCTGCACTTGAACCTCTGCCCTGATCTGTGGCAAAATTCTGACTATCGCATAATTAACATTTCCAACTCTGTTTCCAATCACATTCACAAATAGAATGTAATGTAGGTCTTAAGAGCATACAGGCATGCTGCCTTTACCTCAAAATGCAAACTACTTTGTGACTAGCAAGGTGCTTAAACTACAGTTTCCTCAAACATCAAGGTTTAAGTGCCTGATTAGTCTTTTACCCACAAAATAGAGGTAATTAAAAGCAGCTTTTCCTCTGAAAGTCGACTCTTTGGCAAACTTCCAAAGCTTGGTCGGCTGGGACCACTAGCTTCACTGTTTAAGAAACAACTGCTCAAGAAATGCAACAAATAACAAACAAAATGCCTCTGGGGTGCATTCAGACAGCCAAGTGACTAAACTCCCGTTGCCCCTTATTTTTTGGTCGGTCTAACTTTACCCCAACCTACCGACCAGATTTACGAAACGTGAAGCCTGATGCTTTGATAGATAGATAGATAGATACTTTATTCATCTCCAAGAGAAATTTACAAGCAATGTTCTGCTGATCCTGCCCAAGACCTGCTTTGTTTCCTCCCTCACCTTGGAGATTCAATCCTTGGTCTGACAGGCTAAGTCCTGACAACATGATCAAGGCAACAATCCTCCAATTATCCGTTTGTGTCTGATTCTGTCCACTCTCAGGTTCTTCAGTGGGCCCACTCCTCTGAGCTGACCTGTCATCCTGGAACCTCCTGGACCTTGGGTGTACTCCAAAGATTTTGGTCACCCTCCATTGAGAGATACTTGGGAACTCATAGCTGCCTGCTCCCTCTGTGCCTGTAACAAGACCTCCAACCAGTCCAGCTCCAGGCTTCTTCAGCCACTACCAACCCCCAAACGACCATGGTCCCACAACCTCCAGTCTAACTTTCATCCTTAGTCCAACAGTCAGACGGAGCGGGCAAACCACAAGTTGGAGCCCTTCCTTCGTTGTGTTACATCAGAAAACCCATCTGCCTGGAGTTCTCAAGTGCCATGGGTGAAGTATCCACACAATTCATTGACTACCACGTCCTCTGGATTATCTCCCTTTCAGTATTCCCTGGGATACCTCTGCTTCCTGTGTTCCCCTCCCAACAACAGGAACTCTCAGATGTTTTCTGGAAGTGCAAGATGCGGAGACAGGCTCAGGCAACCCTCCTTCATTTCTCTCAAAGGATGCAATCCCAGGCCAACCATCATTGTTCCCCAGCTCCTGCTTGGGCCAAGGTCCTATCTCTGGAGTCGAAGAAGCTCAAGGCGCGCTTTGTGGGTTCCTTTGAGATTGACCACATTTTTAATGCCAGTGCTGTGCGCCTCAAACTTCTCTCCACCATGTGCATCCATCCCACCGTCCATGTCTCCCAAATCAAACCTATCTGTGAAAGTCTTCTGCTGTCCCTGTCCTTCCCCCTCCACTATCCAGGATGATGGAGATGCATCATCCTACACTGTGCAGCGACTTCTTGACTTACATCGACAGGGACTACAGTATTTGGTCGACTGGTTATGGGCCCGAGGAGTGGAGTTGGATTCCCCAAAGCCAGATCCTAGATCCTTCCCTTATCGGAACCTTCAACCATCGACATCCAGATCAGCTCAACTGTGCGCCAGGTGGTGCCCATAGAGGGAGGTACTGACATGCCCGCCACCTCTGCTCAGTTAGCACCTCTCCCTTCTTTTCCTCTTCCCTGTTTGTGGGAATGAGTGAGACGTGTGCATGTGTACATATGTGCTTCTCGGCTATTGAATAATCAGCTGACAAAGGACACCTGTGGCAGGGAATGGCTCACCTGCTCACAATCATCACCATCTACAATATAAGATAGGCTTGGACCGCCACTGGACGCCGGACCGTTGTACCAACAATGATTTGTTAACTCAGGCTCAGTAATTCTGCCGTGGTTTTTGTGTGCACTGGTTAATCTGTTTGTCCTTTGCCTAGTTCTCTGTGCTGCTCCCTGCTTGGACCTTCTGCAGGCCCTGCATAGACACTGCTTAGTCTCTGGATTTAGATAAGATTGGCATGTCAGTCTGCTTTCCGAGTGTGTAACCATTGGTCTCCTCCCTTTGTGTTCCCCAGAGGGTGCCATTTCCCTCTTCTCCCAAGAGTAGCTTGCCTCTAGCTCTCAATTCACTTCCTCCTCCTTCTGATCCTTTATCCATTTATCTATATATCTCACTGCATCAAATAAGCATTGTTCTCTTTCAATCTGGCCCACTGTGTTGTCTGTCTGTGTCTGGGTATCTGTATTTTCACGTGACAGGTGCTTAGATTTATTGATGAAAGCCTGAAACGTACAGCTGTTGGAGATGATCTGGAAATAACTTCTGCTCCATTAATGTTTAGTCATATAAATAATCTTACAGACACAAGCTGGCTGGTTGACTAATATACAAATAGCGACCTCTTTGAGCATCCTTACTTCACTTACTACTTGAATTAACATAAACATTGTGTTGTATACAACAAGGAAAGAATGATTTGAAAGACTTCTGTGCAGAAATTCCTCTCTGTTCTAAATAATGAACAAAATGTTCCAAAATGTTTGTGACAACTCTTTGAGCTCACTTTGGCCTATGAGAACTGACTGTCAGTGCAAACCTCACAAATCCTAACAAATTCGTCTTAACAAATTAGATAAATTACTTTTACACAGGCTGTATCTCAGAATAGTTGTTTTTTTTAGTGGAGCATTTCAAGTAAATATTTCAGTTAATCATGTTCATTTTATTGTGGGTGGCCAAAATTGTAAATGCTGTTATTATTCAAACAATTATGCAGCGCTACAACTGGTGTAATGTTTATATGCTTTATATAGTAAATGAAACAACAATAAACTGTAAAAGCTGTAACCTAATCCCATCTTGTTGGGGTCCCTGCTTCAGCCTCTGATTTTCTAGCCGTCCTTTCCCTCTCTCTGTGTGTATGACTGAGCTGAAACTTAATCAGCAGCCAGTGAGGACACCTGCACAGGGGCCTGCCTTTAATCAAACACTTCACCATAAAACCCTGGTTCAGACAATCCCTCAGCACCGGATTGTCAACCTAGACCTAAAAAGCTCCACAGCGTCTTTACCACCTCAGACGCCTGAGGGACTTTAAGCTCCCTCTCAAGGTGCTCAGAAACTTCTACAACTGCACCATTGAGAGTGTTTTGGCTGGGAGAATCACCACCCGGATGAGCAGAAGCACCCAGCAGAACTTTTTGGCCCTGAGGAGGGTGGTCTGTTTAGCTGGCCATCAGAACCACCCTCCCTAATCTGCAGGACATTTACAACAAACGCTGCAGGTTAAAGGCCAGGAAGATTGCGAGTGAGCCCACCCACCCAGCCACAGACTGTTCTCTCTGCTGCCGTCAGAGCGGCGTTACTGCTGCCTGAAGACGAACACAGAAAAGATAAGAAGGAGCTTCTTCCCTCAGGCCTGCTGATCCTGATACAGTCAACTCAATAACAATCCAACTTTTCACCTTGTATAAAATATTAATATTGGCTTGATTTATTTTATTTCATTTTGCACTGTTTGACAATTTAATGTATTTATTTTTGCCTCTCATTCTTATTCATCTTTTTATTATTGTTTCGGTGTGGAACAGGTGCACAACACATCTCACTGTGCGTTATACCATGTGTAGCTGTTTGTGACCAATAAAGGCCTTGAATCCTTGAATCCTTGAGGTCAGACCAAGTAACATTTCCATATAACTTTCAACACGGCACCAGTGTGAACTGAACTGTCACATTAACGGATAGACATGCACATGCAGTGGTACTTTGACTTGTATAAAGTGATCTGAACTTAACCGTTTGTGTGCCAAAATAACAACACACCTTTTTTTTTTGGTTTGTTTTAAACATACATTACTTTACAATTTTAAATCTATATATAATCTGTATAATTCTAAATTATCGTAGAGAGCAGATCAGTCCGGACCAGGATCTGACAGCAGGTCACACGGTGTAGGCCTGCATGTCTTCACATCAGACAAGTGAGCTGTCACATACTCGTACTTGCAGCATCAGACTCTGATCAGCTGCTATCAGTTCAGTTTTAATCTGTTGTTGCATTATTATTATGTACCATACATGACTCAATGTATTGGCTAGTCTCACGTGAACGATGAATATTGTGTGCTTATCGCAGCACTCTTCCTCAGTGTGGATGGTCTGTGTGTCTGTGCAGCCGTGAGCAACATGAATGGATGTGACCTATATGTGAAAGGGGCTGAATGACAGAATGCTGTCACTTTAACAGATTGAATAACCCAGCAATGTTCCATGTTGCATGTCTGAAAGGGGCTATAGAAATAGCAGTGATAAGCCAAGTAGCCTGTAGCCCAGCACCATCAGCAGAATGAGTTCCAGCTGCACCACTTGTTTACATCTACAAGTTGAATTGTTGGGAGCTTACTGTGCAACATTAGGGAGGCTTGTGGAAGACAGCAGTGTTGACTAAAACTTTACCAGTGTCTGCTGCCTTACCTTCCAAATACAGTTCTAATCATTCACCACAGCTTCTCCGCTCAGCATATGTGCTTGTGAGTTTCAGTCTGTAATTAATGGCTTTCAGTGATTGGCTGCTACTCATGACATGCACTCAGCCATTGCTCATGAAGAAACCATTTCTGCAGGTAGCACCCCCTAAAATATTTCTACATCTCTGTTTTTTTATGGAATAAACAAGCATGATTCATTTGTGAGCTTCAGAGCTTTAGGTAGATGATTTTTAAGCTGACTAAATACACAAATAACATGTCAGGGGAAAAAAACAAGGAGTTTTTATTTTACCTTCTGCTGTCGGTGCAGCTCCACTCTGAGCTTCAACCAGACCATCTGTGTCCACTGATAGGCCTTGATTAGCTGCAGGAAAATCAGTAGAGAGAACAGAAGAGTTACAACGAAAATCAAACTATAAAGAGGACAAGGCCAATTCCTGGTAGTCCTAGCTTGTGTACCAGGGTAAATGTTTGGCTAGAAGAATAAATGAAGGAATATTTACAATGAATTTCCTTTGTTCCCGACATGTGAACAGATTTGTGAGAGGAATGTTTTGTCCTGACATGGCACAGGACAAGTGATGAAGGGTCAAGATCAAGGTAGATTTTATTTAAATAGCACATTTAAAAACAACCAAGGTTGATCAAAGTGCTTTACAGACTTCTAAATCAACACTACAAAGAACATACATGAACATACAATGAAAAACAATATATATGCAGCCAAGATGTCAGCGCCCCTGAGTAGAGGTGGGTCTTTAGCAAAGACTTACAAGATTCAGCACTAAAATAACTAAAACAATTAGTGTTCCTTCTCTTGGGACCATGGATATATAATATTCAGTCGTGACTTGAAAAGCCGACCCTTAACAATCTGAAAGCCTTGCTATCCGACAGGTTTTCAGGTAAAACGAACGGAACCCACAAGAAATAGTCTTAACATACCGACTCCGACATGACATTTTATGTCACAAGTAAGGATATTATCTAACTTAACAATCCGACAGATTGGCTATGTACAGACTGCAGGACTTAATGCTCAATTCAGATTTTTTTGTGAAATACGTTTTTTTGCGAGATCGTTCACTTTTCCAATTAAATGTGTTTATGGAAGTAAACATGGATGGTAACGGTGGAGTGTATCTTGCGATGTGATTTTAAAGTTTTCTTTAAAAATTGTTGTCCAACTGGAGCCAGCACATTCATAACGTAATCGCCATGGTTGTGGTGGTATTCTATCCCCTTCCCCGCCGCTGCCGCCGTTTCTGGTGGAAACAGAACTAAACTGGCATCAGCAGCCAAGTACTGCCTGTGCATTCTGGCCACTTCCACCCCGTTGGAGCGCACCCCCGGTGTGGAAGTGGCCGTACAAGCATCAAGCCCTCCTTGTATCTCGACCTCCGTCTTGACAATCCGACAGCCTTCCTATCCAACATAAAAGAAGGTTTTACATTTAGTGTCGGATTATTGAGTCACGACTGTACATCAAATTCTATGACTGCTTGGAAAGGTCTTGGAGGTATGCATGACACCATTTGGACAGTGTTGACAAAACAAATAACTTGCCAACATCACCATCTCTTAAGGCACCATGAAGGTATTGTTTAAAGAATGTGCTTGTGAGGTTTGTCAATTTGTCAGCATTTAGGGCTACATGCAGAGATGAAACTGAGTCAATGCCCTGTGCAGCTAAACTTTGCATCCAGATATTCAAACCACACCCAGCCAAAGCACAGTTTTACTGTCAGTTCTATACAGGGTAGCCAACTTAGAGAACTCAAGAGATACTTTCTTTATTTATTTGGAACATGCCGCAAAAGTTAGAGACTGACAGGGAAAAATGTTAAAAGAACATAAAACAATAACATGGTTGATTTTCACAGCAATTTGTTCTTTAGGGGTTACATACCAGAGGAAAACAGTACTGGGACAATCACTGGAAAGTTTGAGTGTTTCAGAGTTCTTTTGTTTTTAGTTTTGTTTTGCCTCTCTGCTCAGTCTGGCTGTGAGGTACATTGTGTTTCTGCTCAGATTTACAAAATACATTTTTTGAGGAACATGTGTAATAGATACTCTCGCTGCTCTCTTTGACTGGGTACAGCTCTCCCTGGGAGCTAATCAGTATCAGGCGCATGTGAGCGGACACAGTTTATTGCGCAGTTATTAGCTCGACGTGACTTGCCATTGGCTGCTGCCTTCCCTGTGATACAGAGCATGTGTTTTACAGATGTGGGCGTTGGAGGAAATTGGTAGTGCTGAGGACTTCAGTGAACAAAACCACACGGCATTCCTTTCCGTAGCCACACATCCCTGTCTAGATTGGAGTTTAATTCAGCCACAGACATACTGTAAGCAGACAAAGAGACAAGTCTCCTTCAGTATGAAAGGGACGGCTTATTTCACTAAATATGTCTGCGTTAAAGGCAGATGCTGGATACAGTTTGTATTTACCTGTCTCTCTTTTCGAAATTCTCTCTATATTCTTGTCATTGTCATGTCCTTCTTTTGAAACAGAATATGAGAAATTGTAATGCTGCCTTGGCATTATTATTAGAAAATAAGACACATTTGTTTTTTACATTGTTCTTGGAGTTATCACTGGGAACATCTGGTTAGGTCAAGTGGAGGTATGGAGCAGCAGCATGGGCTGAATCATCACTACACACAGAGACATGCCACTGTGGCTGAGGCTGATGAACTCTCGACAACGAGTTACCCATCTCTTTGGAAACAAATACTACAATACAGCCACAGATAATTGCAATTAATGCTGTGGAAGATCACCAAAAGAGTTCTAAATTTCCTCCTTGGATGAACAAAGGTTTCTGATACCTATGACTATCTCTTTACAGGCCAGAGACTTTAAAAAAAAAAAAATTGCCGGTGTTCTATCTCACTCTGGGGAAGAACAGAAGCTGTAGTTTCAACTGGAGCCATATCTAGTGTCTTTGAAACTGGTAAAGGTCTGCTTTGGGTCCTCCTTTCTTCATACTAATAAACTATTGTTATCACTCCGCATTAAAATACACACCTTATGCAGACAACATCATTATTATCATATTGTAAACATTTATACATACACATTGTATTTACCAAGTGCAAGCATGTTCCTCCTCCCTAAAGCCTCCTGATTGTGTACACCACAGTGCACAGCCCTTCATCACTTACATGTCTCACTTCATACCATGTCTCATAGAAGATGATGCAATGCTCATGATAGGAAAGAGAAAAGAATTGCAAATTGCATAGTATATATACAACCCTAACCCTCCATTTGAACCCTATTTAACCTAACCTTTATGGAAACACACGGGTCATTCCACCTCAGTTCACAAAATAAAATTAAAAAAAGTTCACACCTGACCATCCTGTATTTTGTCAGATGTTTTTTTTGTGCATACATATGTTATTCAGTAAAACGTGTAAAAAATAAATAAATAAATAAAATTGGTCAAATGTCTAACTTTTTGAGTTTAAAATTTCTTACTGAATGAGGGGTCATGTTGATTTTTGCGTTGTTTTCTTCCCGTCAATCTTTGGAGCAGGTTTAAAGCACCATAACTTGAGAAATAATGTAGCTACAGCCCTGAAATGTTGCAGCCTCATTGATGTGTACATATGGTCTTCAACGGTACAACCCTGCTTTGACTCTCAGTTAAAATCATTTAACAAATCTAACAGTTTTAAAAAATATATAGACTCAGTTTAGTTAATATTATCATGTAGACACATTTGAACCAAATGTGCAAATATTC